GGTGAGAAGGAAAGGTGAAGGGTGTAGGGAGGTCACACGGTTTTTACCGCTCTCTGTTTAAATGCTGGTTAACCTCTCTCATTTTCACATTTTTACCGTAATTTTCCATCTGTTCTGCAAGCTGCCATAGACCGCCACTCTGGACTTTGTAATATTTAATAAACAAAAATAATATAATAAATGGGAGTATCCCCAAACATATCTCCCAGTCTGGACATTAAACTAATTGGAGCGCGTCAAATGCCTGGATTCCCCCGCACCCAGAAGCGACTAAAAGGTTGGCTTTGATAGTCGCTACAGAAACATCAGGTTCTTCTCTACAGTCTGTGAAGTCAGCTGTTTTAGCCATGCTCTGTTCACATGCAGTCTAATATTGTTAGATTTAGTGCTTGGAGTATATGTTAGGTATGACTCTCAGCTACTACCACCCTAAATTTGAGCTTAATATCTTTAAAACTGACTGAGTTAGAGTTGTTTATGTGTTGGCTAATGTCAGTTAGCTGTGACTGGTGGCCATCTTGAATCACTCTAACTGTACAGTCAAACAAATAACAGACACGGGGTAAAACATAGTCGCCATTTTGCCTTTGGCAGTGGGTAATAATTGCGRTAAAACAAAGGAAGCTTTTTTTATTATCAGTCGAGACATGGGTTCTCATCATTAGATTTACTGTAAGTCCTCACAACACGGGTAAAACAAGCACACACACAGATTTCTATCAGACCTGTGTTGTGAAAACAGGATGCAGCATCACGTAGATTTGCTGCGTAACACCAGCGAACACAGAAGTCCGAAAATAAATTGTGCGCCACCTCTACGCTTCCCAGGGTATCTRATTATCTCAACCCGTGATGCCTCGTTATCATTACACGTCCAGGCAGCAGAAAAGGGCACAGCTGATTAATATTTCACACGGCATGAGAGAGCGTGGCGCAGCGGTTCGTGACCAAAAGTGTCAGAYTGTGTCCATTTATCAGATGAGTTTTAATCTAATGATTTTGACACCGAAACTGTTGAACGGTGAATGTTGTCAACCCTTCATCAGGCCAACCGACTCACGATAGAACCGACGTTAAACATTTGTTTTCAGTGTTTTCTGCAGCTGCAGGCGATAGTATGAAGCTGCCATGGTTTTTGTTTGTGGTGAAGCAGGCCCGTGCTGTCAAAAATTCAACAATGCGGGCAGCGATTACAGTTCAGTGCAACAAACGTGTTGGAACAGTTGCACAAGAGTTGCAACAGCTTTCTTGGATTTTGCTACAGGGAGGTTACATTTCTCAACAGATGAGCCGAGGCTGGAGGAGACACACAGCTGAGCGTGTTTAATGAAACAAAGGATGCTTCTGCTTAAAATCAGATTCAGTGTTTCCACTAACTGATGTGAGGCAGGAGTTGGGGGGTTGACAGGTTATGACATCAAATGTTTGTCAAAGAAGCATTAGTTGTTTGGTCCTTTTGTGAACCTTTCTGAAACAAATATCCCTAATGGGACAATAATATCTTGCCTACAGTATTTCTTATCATATATATTAAACATATCACCAGTGATAGTAGTTGTAGGATGGATTATAGCATGATATAAAATATAAATATGTAATAAAATGCTGCAGATTTGATTCCAACACAGAACCATCCAATTTGAAAAAAAGAAATAAATCAGAAAAGAGATTTGTTAGCTACACCTGC